GTCTCCGTTTGAATTCATGAGGGTTCCGCTGCTCCAGTCGACGTACTGATGCAAATCGAGACTTCGTCGCGCATCATCGTACTGCACGCCGCGCACGACGACACGACAAATGACGACTGTTGTGTCCGTCTCCCGTAGTTTTTAACTGGCTTATGATCAATATCCATCCTTTACGTACATGTTTTGAAAGCACAGATTCTTCAGTAAAGCATAACATTAGCGTAGCATTGCGTCCCTGGAGTTGTGTCCGGCAAACATTAGCGACGCAAGTATTTGTTCCATTTTTGGGCTCATATGAGAAGGGTAAATTCTATTTTGGAACTGCTTACAAAAGTGCTTATGTGGGAGAATGCTGTCATTAGGTTAATCCCTATTGTCCTTGCCAATTATTTCATTAACGTGATAAGATCTATATCCACGTTTCTAAAAATCCTCGATAACCTCAATTAAGGGTCGATGACCGGATGTTTTATTTCTGCCCGATGGCAATCGTGGTAGGTATCTCAATGTATTGTCCGCTCATGGGGAACTTCTGAACTTTTAGTGAACTGATTGAGAGTAGCTTACCAACAAGTCAATTATGAATAGTTCTCAATTCGAAGAGCTTCCACACTTGTGCGAAGAGCTGTGCATAGCGCTAGTCCGCTACAAAAGGGTTTTTCTGAACATTTTTGTACTGCCAAGAAGTGTCGTGCAGAAAAGCTTTGAAAAGATACCACTCTCATTTGCAATTTGGGCGCTGTTCGACTTCTGAGGGGGGGGGGGGGAAGAGGTGTGGGAAGGAGACACTTTTGCACGCCACCAGTTTCTCTTGACAGTCTGTTGAATGACACGTCATTACTGGTAAGACCGTAGAATCTTGTCAAGTGTAAAGTCCTCCTGCATGACATAGCTTTACAGGAATTTGCAGGTCTCTACAGGAGGTATCAGCAGTGATGGACGGAGAACAGTGAAATGCCCGCCCTTCCATCAACCCTTTGAGCTGAACTCCACTTTGTTTCTTGTGAGGTCACGTTATCTGGAAATGAGCCGTATAGGCAGGAAAATGTGGAAGGGCGGTATTAAGAAGGGACTGTGGAACTGGTCCGATTCTCTCAAAGTGCGAAAACCTTTCCTCATGCGGGGGGATTTGTTCCCTGAGTCAGCAGGAGCTCCTCTTTCAAGCTTTAGGCGCAATTTTTCGTCTGCTGCACGCCCCCGCCACCCCCTTCCCCGTGATATGAGCAAGACTACAACTTTCTTGCAATGGTGTTACTGAAGACAGTTCAAGCATTGTTTATAGAAAAGTAATTCAGTTGGATATAATCCAACTTTAGTCTGGTTCGCTGCGTATGAGGGGGACGTGCCCGGCGAGATGAGTGTGGCAGGTCGTCAAATCCGTTCTCTATCAGTTGTTGAAGCGAGCAAGCGACAACAGTTGTTGGAAAACGAGTATGGTGCCGCTTTCTTCCCGCATGACACAGTACAACAGCTTTTACCACGTTTGCCAAAAGACACGTGAGTGTGGGTTTTTTCCAGGTTGTTCTTCAATCCATGCATAAATACGTTCCCGTTCTGTATATCTATCACATGCCGAATTCATCGATAATGTGGATGGACCAGAACACTCCGGCGTTGGATCCTTCGTGTCTGATTGCAGCTATAAGGTTGGCGAACTTAATCGTTCGTGTAATTTTAATGAATTGATATGGTTGATCATTTTATCTCTGGTATATGACACGTACCCCTTCTGTTCAGGTTTATAGAGACGCTTTAATGAGTGTTCGGGCGCAGTTCGGCGAGGGGGCATTTTGCACTTTCGTTGCTTCACTAGTTCTGGTTTACAAGTCTCACTCTGGTGAAACCTGTGAACTCTTGTGAAGCTGGAGCAAGCTCGTCAAGCCATCATGGTAAAACCTGTCAACTCGAGAAGAGGCTGTCTAGATGGGTCGACACGTCGATGGGAAGTAGCAAAAGTGCAAAATGCCCCCCTTCTCCGTCGCCGAACTGCCCCGGTAGAGTGTTCGCCCGGTAGAATTACAGCACTCCCTTGGCCATCGGCGCGCGTTTCAACCTTTCCCACTCACCGAGGTCTTGCGTTACCAGCAACACTTCGAAAGTTGAAAAGGCTTAGTTTGTGTAGGCAAGATTTGATGGTTGAAGTATTTGGGGAGGAAGGGGGGTAGGACTGTGCACCTTCCCCTGACCGGAGCTGGTGACAACTCTGCCTTTTTGTCTTCATTATCCGTCGGCGACTGTGGTCGTTTGCGTTGTCTTTTTGCCTTCACTATTCATCGGAGACTGTGGTCGTTTTTGTTTCGAATCTAAGTTTGAGTTTGAGTAAGGGACACAGTCGTGACGGTATGCTCCCTCTCTCAATGCTCCGGAACTCTTAGTTTTTGACCTCTTTTCCGCCCGTATTCGTTTAAACCACATAATTAAGACATCGGATGAGCTGTGCAGCATAATGATATTATGTGTGTATTTCCAGTGAAAAAAAAAACTTAGCCCCTTAATAGTTTCACGCAAAAAAGTTAGTGCCATCTTATGAACGGGGTATTCTACTAAGGGAGTGGGAGAGGGGATCGGAGCAAAAGTTCACGATTACGGTAACCTAATTTTGTCCAGGGAATTTTTTTGAATGTTGCGAGGTTCTTTTATGCACCGGCCTTCAATTTTTTTTGTTGGGAAACGCCACTCACATCAGTGCTGGAAACTTTGCAGAAACTGTTTTGAATCAGGGCGGCTAGAGGCTTCCTACATAACCGAGGGTGCGGGAGGCTCTAGGGTGGGTGAGCTGGTTGCTTCAAAGGAAAGGTTTGGTTTTGATGCCTTGAGTGCTTTGCACCAAAATTATGCATGCTTGGATTTGGATTAGTGTCGCTGCAAACCAAGTAACAATAGGATTGACAAAGCATATTCAAAGCGCATTCTTCATTTACGGTTTGATCATGAAGTAATTGTCCGGAAAAGTACGAACTTTCTGTTCAGGTTCGACTATACAGCGTTCATTGCCGTAACCGCCTATCAAAACAATGAAGTGACTCAACTTAAAATCTCTCACAATCCTTTTGCAAAAGGTTTCCGTGAAGGATCAGAACGAGACCGAAAACGAGCGTCGACCAGCCCACTTTTCATCGAGCCATCACCAAAACGGATTTCACCAATGGCTTCGGAATCGAAGGTAAAATGTGAAACTCCTTCAGGAAGCCCATTTCTGTTCCCATGGCAAGCACCCATGGCAGATCCAAACTCTCCAAGAACTAATGAGGGTCTTCCAATGCCATGGTATAACTATTATCATCATCCATTCTATCCACCATTCCATGCAACATTACCCTGTTACTATCCTTATATGTCAAGTTGCTATCCTACGACAACTCCAGAATGTTAATGTTGTCAGAAGATAGTTAGAGTTTTACGATAATGTTATCAGATTAAGGGTTCAGCTGTGGATTTGTGTAACAGATCTCTAGGATGCTTCTAATTATATTCTTTATGCTTTCATTCGAATCATAATTACACCCAACTTGCATTTGGGTTCGATTTAATGTTCACGTCCAATAGTTTTAGCCATTATTACTGGTTTCGTCGTCTTTGGACACTCCTTAATCTCTTCCTAATTGTAATGACACTGCATTATTATCTGAGAGGTGGGCTGTGTGTGTGTGTGTTGGGGGGGGGGGTGGGAGGAAGGTGAATTGTAGCATTTCGACCATTTGAGAGTGCACGGAAATGAAGCTAGAAGCTTGTAAGGCCTTGCTTTTCTCTATTGCTCTGTTCACTACTTGACACGCAATGCACAAACTATTGTTCCCTGTTGTCGCACATTGCTTGACACGCGATACACTCGCCGTACGCCATACAGCCAGCCACACGCCTGTCAATAATAGCGCTGTGCCAGATTGTAACCATACGACGCTCTGATTATGACATAATTACACAAAGACAGACGTGGCTGGGTCTGTAATTAAGCGTATGACTGGCTGTATGGCGTACAGCGAGTCAACGGCGTACGTATAGCGCATCCAGTGGTGTGGGCGAATACCTAAGGAACATCAGACTAGCGCATGCCTTTTCATTGTCGTGCGACTTTGCATGGCGGGAATGCTTATACGTCGACGGCTACGGACCTAGCACCCCCATACACCTCTCATGTAATGAAGCGTGTCATTTGAAGAACGAGTTTAGCGTCCCAGATCTTTGTAGATATTGTATTGTGCTGAGAAAATTTCACATCTTCTTAACTTTATGACATTATTTATGTTAAGCTAATGTGTTTCTTGTGAGTGTAAGTAGAAATATTTGAAATGCTGTTAATAATAAGACACGTCTCTCATGAATGATCTCGTCATCTGTGGTATTGATGCTCAGGTAATAAGGGAGAACAAATCTGATTCAAAAAATTTATGCGAGTTAGCTCACAACTACAACTAATTTCATGTGTTGTTTCAGTTTAAGTAATGTTAAGCAGGCTAGTAGTACTTTTTTCATTCTTTACCCCTAACAAGGGATCTGATTCGGTGCTGTTTGCATTCATGTTGTTCATGTAGTATGTTTTATATATGTTTGTAAATATTGTGTATTTATTGAGTATAAAATTGACTAATAGAATGTCTCTGTTCAACTAGTGGAAAGCTTATGGGTAGCGATCACAACTACTTTCCTGCTCCAAGGTTTTATAGTCAGTTTATAAGTAGAACAAACGTTGGGATTATGGGGACCAATGGTACAGGATGCCTGCTGACGTTTTTGAGACTTATTTCGGGATAACCGGTGGGTGGGCGTTCACAAATATCGTGTTTTGCCCATTAGTTTATTCTCATAGTAACGAAGAGGACTATACCTGTACAGTAACTGTGACTCCCCGCTCATTCGTTCAGATTTCGAGCACGAAAGCACTACTCGCGAACAGGGCACTCCTGCCGCTGAGGTACACAATGAGAAAATCCCTCGGATCCCCCTCCCTCCCGCCAAACTCCTTCCTTCGGTACGCATACCATGCCTAAGGGGGTTCTTCCAGCATTGTGGATAGTGCGAAAAACAACAAGTCAAAAAATTGTCGCAGGCCAAATACGAACTCCACTGGGCATTCTCTAGCATGCGAGGTGCCCTTATTGGTATGGAGGACTTAAAAACCAGAGAGGAATTCAGTTCCACTTGGGCGACTGGGGAGGGGCATTTTGCCGTTCTGCGACCCCCGATCAACGTGCCGAGCGATCAAGTGGGGACCTGTGAAATCGTGTGAAGCCACGAAATGATACCAGGCAAAGTTTGCGGAGACTTAGTTGTCAATTCTTGCAATTCAACGAGACACCGTACAAATATTCACCACTTGTCCACTTCACACAAAACTTCACAATTTCACGCAGAGTGAACCGTAATGAATGTGAGCAGCAATCACAAATGTTACCACCACGGTCGCCGAACAACGCCGTGAATTCAGCTCTTTTGAGCGAATTTTTCGAAAGGAAATTTCACCATCATGTTGGCGGTCGTACTGACTCTCGTCAGACGTCCCGAAACAACTGTTTGGTATTACAGGACGTGCCCGGCCAAGACGGACCATTGGCAAATAGTGATGATGTCCTGATCCTTGATGCAGTGTGGAACTCCATGTACTTCTTTGCATGTGTATATCGCAACACTCCAGCGTCCTTCTCTCCATGGGGCCTCGAATGGCATTGACTGCATGCTCATCCTGCCTGCGCAGAAAAAAGGTGAGGTGTTCTTGAACTCAGGAAAACGAGCTTGAGTGCGGAGTTAGCTGCTCGCTCACTCTTCATTTCTGGTGTGAGGTCATGCACCATATTGAACTGGATGTACGTTAGAGGGGATCTTCAAAAAATCGCCCTCTTCGACTCAGCTCTCTCGATATTCAGTGTTGAGGGAGGAGGGGAGGGCGGGGGAAGAGGGAAAGGGTGGGCACGACGTCGCCAGAAAAGCGATGCTGTAGTTGACGACCTGATAGTATATCCTGTCTTTCTGTTCCAGTTGATACATGACGTCCTTGGAGTGACCGACCATCCTGGGCGAAATGAGCCGCTCCAGCAAAGCTACCTGCAAGGTGATCTTGAAGATGCCGCGGATGATGGGGCGTGCCATCGAGGCTGCGTTTGGCACGCTGTCAGCCCGTTTCCCACCAGTTGCTGAAGAGTGTAAGTGACGACAGCCGGTGGAATAACGACTCACACGCAGTCCTGTCACTTGCCGTAAGGAAAACAAGACGGGTTTGCGCAGCGCTTCCTGTCACTTGCCGGAAGAAAACAAGACGGGTTTGCGCAGCGCTAAATGCACCGCGCTGACACGCCTCATCATCCGCAGCGAACGAGACTATAATAGTCGCTTCTCCACGTGCATCTTTATGCAGAGAAACCGGTGCGTCAAAGAGTACACGTATGATCGGAGGTCTGTGCTGAGACACCAACACTCACTGTACCACAAAGGATAATATGTTGCGGACCGACTGCAGGCAGATTTTTGATTGAAGACAATTCCCGCGATCAAGTGTTGCGGGTAGTTGGGCTCTGTCATGAACCAGTATCCCATAGGTAGCTTCTCAGAAGAAAAAGAAGCGGAAAAAACCTTGGGAACACCTTGAACACAGACGTCACCCCAGCAGCCCTGGACGAGTGCGTCGGGCGCGAAGGCGCGCGCTTCATTAGCGATTGCGGGCCACAAAGCTGAGCCGTGCGACCGGGCGGTACTTAATAGTCACATGTAAGCTCAAAAACACACTAAACTGCTCTTCATTTCTTTATCCTCCTCTGCCGAATGAGTATCGGAAACACGATATTGACTCTCTCTCGTAATTCCTCCATCCATCCTTCAGTGATATGAAATTCAAAAAAGGTTCGCTGCTCTTTTGTTCACATTCTAATGGAATTACGCTTGCAGACCATCTGGAACCCTAACACCGCCTATGCGTCTTCAGTTCATGTCCAACGGTGCGGGGATTGCGCTTAATCGCTATAAAAAGCGAGGACACGAGATGCAAAGTCCCAGAAGGGCCAGCCGCCAAACGCGCCCCGCGGGCGCGTTTAAGGACGCTAAGCAGCTCGGGACAGGATGACGCTCGCCACCTACCGTCGCTGCTCGAGCTAGCCGAGCTTGTCGAAATCGCTATAACTTCCTTATCGCACGCTATTAAGGGATGAGAGAGGTATCATCTTCATCAAGGCGCAGAGGGTTCCAAAAGGCGCGAAGTCATTTTGAAGACCACTTAATCGCGGGGAGTGTCTTTAATGGACTACAAATCTGCAACAAATGTTCAAAGCGATTCCACGATGTTGGCGCATGCCATGGCATATGGAAGTGGTAATCCTATTCCGGCATCGCTTACAGCTAACAGGGTCCCCCTACCGAGATGGGCTAAAGGACGCACCGCCGGGGTGAGCAAGTCGATACAAGAGACCCGAGTAAACGCAGCGCAAGCATTGCTAATGACTTAGGTCCTGTGCGAATGAACTGATACGTCACCTCCCTACAAGCTCCCTATTTGGCCGCATCAGACGGACATGCATGTATACTCTAGATCGCTGCGATCGGATGGGCTGTGTCAGGCAGTATGAGTGTGCACCCCGTCAAAGCCGTTCTCTGCCTTCTTGTTGAAGCGCGCATGCGACAAAAAGTGGTAGAAAACGAGTAATACGAACGATATGATACAGTCATATCATTTGCTCGCTTCAACTACTGGTGCAAACGGGTTTGGCAAACTCATCCTGCCCGACACGCCCAACCGTCTGTAGCGAACTACAGTTTACGTACGGCTCCGCACCCGGTGCTAATGAGTAGTTCTATCCACTGACGCGATACAACTGCTGCTCATTACTATTCCACCCAACTAAACGGAAATGTGGCCATTAGAGGAGGTATGTGAAATCGAATACACGATCCTCTGCGCTGATGCCGGTCCCTTGTCGCTGATTCTTTCGAATCTTGTTCTAACTTAGTCGCAGATCCTCCAGAACCTTTGATGCGTATTTCCCCCCATTTTCGTACGATCTTCAGTGGTACGCATGGGTATAATGTTCAAAGAGGAAACAACTTTGAAGTACTGTGCAACCAATTTTCACTTATTAGCTTTCTAAGTAATGCTATAAGGTCAAAAATATTAGTACTATCCAAAAGTCTACTGGCCAAACTACGTTGTGAGGGCGCCACCCATCCAGCCCCCTTCCACCGCCATCCCATCAATACATTATCAGCACAGTTTAAAGGCAGGCGCGTTTCGGTCCCACAACGATGGCCCTCAGTAGCGGTTTCGCAACCCCACCCCCCTGCGCCAAGAAAGCTTTCGCAACTTGCAGTCGCATAGCTCCTGCTGGCAGTTTGAGGACTGTTACGAATATTGTCCCTTTTCGTTGATTCATTATCTATGTCCACTCCTCTCTA